TACATTATTATTAACCAAAGTCCATATTTTACTCTGATTTCCTTAGTATTTACTTATCTTTTATTTTCTGTCCCAGGATCCCTTCTAGGATACCACATTATTTAGTGTTCATGTCTCCTTAAGCTTTTCTTGGCTCTAACAGTTTCTCAGAACTTCCTTGTTTTTGATGACCCTGAAATTTTTGAGGAGTACCAGTCAGCTATTTTGTATGGTTTTGTTTTCGAACTCTTCTTTACTTACTAGCACCAGAAGATGCTCTAGGCTAGTTTTGTATATTTCCTGGCCCAGTCTTAGGAGCCACCATTTCCAAAAGGAATCCTAATTCCTTTTACTAGAGAATAAACTAGCCGGCTTCTCCCTCTCCCTCTCCCCCCGCCCCTCCCATTGATGCGTGTGCTCGCTCTCTCTCTCTCTCTCTCTCTCTTCCTCAAATAAATAAATAAAATCTTAAAAAAATAATCCTATCTATAATGTTAATTTTTTTTAAGTAGGAAGTAATTGACCCAGTTTTTTTTTTTTTTTAAGATGTATCCATTTAGTTGAAAGAGAGTGTGCGTGTGCACATGTGCACGTGAGTGGAGAGAGGAGCAGAGGAAGAGAATCTCAGACTCCCTACTGAGTGTGGAGCCCTTTGTGGGGCTCATGACCTGAGTCAAAACTAATTGTTGGCTGCCAAACCAACTGAGCCACCCAGGCACGACTGACCCAGTTATTTATTTTTTTTAAAGATTTTATTTATTTATTTGACAGAGAAATCACAAGCAGGCAGAGAGGCAGGCAGAGAGAGAGGAGGAAGCAGGCTCCCCGCTGAGCAGAGAACCTGACGCGGGGCTCGATCCCAGGACTCTGAGATCATGACCTGAGCCGAAGGTAGCGGCTTAACCCACTGAGCCACCCAGGCGCCCCTGACCCAGTTATTTTTATCTTGTGGTTTCTAGCCTGTCTTCTTTGGTCCATTGTTCCAGTTCAGTTGCATTGCCTCTGTGGTACTCCTTGGGTCTTTCCCACATGTGGGTCTCCCAGTGGTCAATCTCAGTCTTCGGCAGTTGTCTTAGTTCAGTTTTCATGTCTTTGGTGTACTGCATTTTTCATGGCTGAGAGAAAGAAGTATGCTCAAGTGTGCCCCTCATAATAGGAAGAGAGTATAAGGAATTCTGTGCATAAATTTCTCTAGATTCCTGTTTCTTTTTCCCTTGCTGATCCTATCATGCATCTTTTTGCTATAATAAACTTAACTGTGAATACAGCTATATGTTGAGTCCTTACAACTTTGATTGAATCATTCACTCTGTGAGTGGTCTTCAGGACCCTGAAACATAATTGCATTACGTAATCACAATCCTCAAAATAACTCTAAGGTAGGTAGACATTACTCTGTCTCTTATGGGTAAGAAGACTAAAGTTGGTGAGGTTAAACAACTTCCCTAGGACCTCAGTTCATAAGCGAGGGAATCCAAGTCTGTTTAATCCCAAAGCCTTGGTTCTTCACTGTTACTCTGCATTGCCCCCCAGTACCAGAAATTATGTCTGCAGTGGGTTGAGAGAAGGCAGTGAAAGCTTATAGAGGGTGATAATGGTCTGAGACTGCTACATACAGGATGTAGTATTTGAGTTGGTCTTGAAGGATAAATGAACAGGATTAAAATTGGTGGAGTGCTGTGGGAAGAGAATTGTCTACAGATAGAATTGCATGGTATAAGCATGCAAATGTTAAAATGCAAGATTTATCTCCAAGAAAGAGAATATAACAGTTGGGTGAAATGGAGCGTTTATGTTAGAATTAGAAGGTTTTTCTTACATACTTCAAAAAAAAACTTGTGGCAACTGCCATAGCTTGTCTTTGCTACAGTTTGGTGTAAGATATATCTGATCTAACACGTAATTATATATTTAAGCTTAATAAATGAGATAGTATGTTTGTTTAGGGATAATAAATATCTGTTCTGCAGAGATAACCATGACTACTACCAATGACTTTGACACCTAAACAAGTTAAAAACCCACTGTTGTTAGTATTAAGAAACTCCTGAAGTGGAGGGGATGGTTTGAAGAGGAGTGAAATGCTGAAAACAGCATTTAACTGATACTAATCTGGTGGCAGTGTGAAGAATGTATTGGCTAGAGCTAGGGAGGCAGTCCATTTAGATCATTGTAATCATAGCATTCCATGTATGAGATGATTAAGAGCTTAGAGAATTGTGAAAGTGAAAATATGTGAAAGATATTGTATAGGATGAATTGTCATGATGTGGTGATGACTGGATATTTGTATGTTTTTGGTGAGATCCAAATGTTTGGAGTCTGAGTAGTTTGGAGAAAATATGAAAGTTATCATAGAAATATGACATTTAGGTGAACTGTTATGCCAAGACCATGTTAGGTTTCATTCTAGGTGTATTGAATTGAACAATTTATTGACATCCTAGTGGAAAAACACATTTGGGTTCTGAAATTGGATTGAAGAGGGTAAAAGTTTGAGATAAGAGATGGGAAAATTTGCAATTGAGTGGTCACTAAAACGATCTGAATGTCGGCATCACCTTGGGGGAAAAAAACAAAAAAAAGCAACAAGGACCATACTCTGGTTTTATTCATTTCATTAGTAAGAAATGAATATTAAAGAGCATCTTTGAAGTTTTAAGTAATGTTATAAGTAATGTTGACATTTTTTATAACTGTTAAAAACATTTGTACAGTACTTCTTTTCATGTAGGTATTTTCTAGTTCGTGAACTTTAAGTGGCCTTTTATAGTATATGAATAACTATTAAATGAAATCAATAAGTAATTGTCCTTTCCATGTATAAAGTATAGTTAGGCACCAGATAACATTCAAATAACATTTTTTTCTTCTCATATAGCACATTGTTCTTGATAACTTCTGGAAGGTTATGTGTGTGCATATCTTTCTGTTGCCTACTTAGGAGTCTTGCTCTAAGTTCCTGTTTCATTTCAATACCTGTTTGGTTTGTTAATCATTTCTTAGCACTTGCTGACTGTTGTGCCACTAGTGCACCAACCATCATTACCATCACTTGAGGGTTCGAGATCACTTGTTCCATCACTTTCCCTTAGTGCAGAAATGTTCTTAAATGAATGACATTCAAACTTAGCTCTATGCAACTCATTTGTTTTTTAGAAACTAAGGGGAATAAACACAGAAATACTCCTTAGGAGAAGCTGGGTAGACAAAAATGTTGGCACTAATGTGTATATGGTTCTGGCTGTTGTCTCCATTTTATTTCTACCTGCTGACATTTTTCCAGGGTAAGAAGACACTATTAAAAAGCTTCAGCTCCAGAGTCTTACCCATTTTGTTCTGCTATTTGTTCCATTACTGGAGTTGACAGAGAATTAGATGAATGTGCAGAGGGATAACAGGAAAAAAATGTCTTTATTATAGGCTGACTTGTTTTCTTTGGGTTTTAAGTCTTAGAAAAGGAGGGAATTCCATCAAAATTTGTATGTGATTTTGGTATCTCATGGTTGCCCAAAAGGTAGTATACATGATTTTTATAAAACTCTTTTGTATATGTGAAGATGGTCCAATTAATTCATTAAACTCTTCTTAAACAATTTTCATTAATGTTTTCATTTAATATTTAATCCCCTTGAATCTAAGCTTTCAGTAATACAGAGTTTATTGAGAATCACAGACTTTGTATAAGCACTCATTCATATTATCATGTTCCTCCTTTTGAAGCAAGTTCCCCACTCATTTCCCAGTGTATTCTGTGGGTTGGTATGGTACAGTGGAAAGCACACTGACCTGTCAGGATACCTGGGTTCTAGCCCCAGCATATAACCTCAGCTTCTGGATCCCATTCTTCTCATGCAAAAAGTAGAATACTTGTTGAGCCTATATCACAGGCGTGTTATAAGTTTCAAAAATGATAAAGAAAATTACTTTGAAAATGTTAATATGGAGGCTTCTTGCATCATCTTCAGCAATTTCCATATTTTTCACAATTAAAAAAGTACCATAACAAATGTACAAGAAATGTTCATATGCTTGTTTAATAAAGTTCCTAAAAATGTTATTGTGCTTATATTTCACAACTGTATTTCCTAAAATTTATTTTAAATCCACTCTGTAAGTTTTGGCTTGTAAATCAGAGGAATTGGAACTTTATGAATTTTTTCTATGAGAATGATTTAGCAAATGTGTATAATAGTACTGAATAATTCAAAGACTTAGTGTGATGTTCAGATTAGGGAATTTTTTTGCTAACAGAGACTTCTGTAATTGATTTGCTTCATTTATTTGGACAACTTCTGTAATTGATTTGTTTCATTTATTTGGACATCTTATGCTCTACAACTCACGAGGTTCATATACCATCTGCATTCTTGTTTCTGCCATTTCTTTATCATTAACAAACAAAAATATTGGTTAAAAAGTTAAATGAGATTCTAGTTTTCTGATACTTGTTTAAAGTAAGTATGGTATACTAAAAAGAGAGAGCATCCTCGTCTACACTTGAGCATTCCAAGTCTGAGTCAGCTGATGACTAATTGCAAAAATTGCAAGAACTCAGGCATATTGTTCTACTTTTTCTGTGGCTCATTTGTCCATTATAAAACAAGTGGTTTGGATTAGACTTCGAAGGTTCTTTTAAATTTTAACATTCTATGATTGTTTTTTAAAACTTCTGAGTATCTGAGGAAACCAATGTAAAGATTATAATTGGTACTAATGTTTTTAGAGAGAATATTTAGAAATATTATATTTGACTTCTAACTTATACCTTATTTGACTTATACCAAGGTGACCATATAATTTGCCATCCAACAAGAGAAAACTTTTGAGAGTTAAAGGCATACTGTTAATAATTACTCCAGGGCAACAGCTTTTAAACCAGGACTGTCTCAGATAAACTCAAATATCTGGTTACCCTATCTGTATCCCATATGTGGGGTTCTGTCAACTGCATTATTGGCCAAAGAACAGTATTTATCACTTTTAATTCTTTTTTATGGTTTTACTGTTTTTTCTTCTAGATCCATTGTGTGTGGAAAGTAATGTAGCATCATGCCAGCAATCTCCAGCTAGTAAAAAAGGGATGTTCACAGACGACTTACATAAACTGGTGGATGACTGGACAAAGGAAACAGTAGGAAATTCTCTTATTAAGCCAAGTTTAAACCAACTCAAACAGAGTCAACACAAACTAGAGTCAGACAACTGGAACAAAGTATACGAGGTAAGTTGTTTTTACATGTTCCTCTTTATTTATGAGAACTAAAACCAGGGGCTCCTTGGTGGCTCAGTCAGTTAAGGGTCTGACTCTTGATTTCAGCTCAGGTCCTGATTTCACAGTTGTGATTCAAGCCCCATGTTAGGCTCCACACTGGGCATGGACCTTACTTAAAAAAAAAAAAAAAAGAATAAAACCATAAAAATTGATTCAATAGTCACTATGAGAGAATGGTGTGATTTGACAACATAGAGACTTTTATCCTTATCTAGATTCATTATATCCTTGAGCAAATTATCTTTTAGACCAGAGGTCAGCAACCTTTTCCTGAGAAGGGGCCAGTTAGTAAATACTTGCAAGTCATGTGGTTGCAACTAGTCAACTCTGTTGGAGGGCAGAAGCAGCCATAGACAAAACATAAGTGAATGCACGTGGCTTTATTCCATGAAAACTTGACTTGCAAAAAGAGGTGGCAGGCTGTAGGTTGCTGTCCCTTGTTTTAGACTTTGATACCTGAAAAAGTAACCATCAAGTATCAAAAAGAAAGCATCTAGAGTGATGGTTAATTCAGTCCTGTGGTGCAAGAAGAGTTTGGTTTTGAGGAAAAGCTATCATATGTTGTATGTCAGTATTCTTAGAACTACTGAGTGATCTTAGTTGTTCATTTTTTAAAATAATTTTAAAGCTCTTTAAGCTAGAATATTATGAAAGGCATCTTAAATTCATGGGATGAGATGCCTAGTTAATTGCACATGGACTTAGTCAGATGTACATGCATTTGAGATATAGAAAGATTTCCTCAGTGCATCTGGAATGGGAAGAAGGTAGGCTTAGAGAATAGTATATACAGTATTTGTTTAAAATTATGGACATTAGATATATGTATATACACATAGAAATAGGAAGAGCTATTAACAATATGTGGGATGGTGGAATTTGGGCCTTATTTAACTTTGTACTTCTCTGTGTTTGAGTTTTTTAAAGTATCACTTTTTCACGATGAGTAAATCTACTAAAATGTGAATCGGGGCTTAGAATCTGAACCCTCATGATTGAAGGAGATATATTTGTGTGTCTGTTTTTCTGTCATATTTGTGTACACGTATGTGTATATTTGTAGTCATTGCATGTAGTTTGGTAAAGAGGCTGAAAATACAGTTAGTGTTAATGTTGAATAAAAATTTCAAAAGCCTAGATTTCCCAAAATAGTAAGCAGTATATTTCTTGGGGACTCTGTATTTATCTTATTCCTGGCACTGATTTATACACAGATAATATCACCATTGTAAACACTGGAAGTCTTTAGAGGCAAATTTCAAGGCATAAATGCATTGGTGTTGCCAGTGAGAGAGCCTCTGAGTACTCTGTGAATGAAGACTTTTGTTGACTAGTAGGAGGATGGTTTTTTGCAGCATAATGGGGGATTTTGGAGGGAAAATGAGTAGAAAATGGAGTATGAACAAAAGTAATGAAGGTCTTTAAACAGTTAATACTTACCTACCTTAGAAGATTGCTGTGAGGATTAAATGAGGTAACACCTATAGAGTAACTAGCACAAGGTAGTAACTACTTTTGTATTTTGAGTTCACTTGATTACACCTTTGTGTGGAAAACTCATCTCATAATCTAATGTTCTTGCTTGTTACTGAGCGTAGAAAAATTGAAAAATTAGAAAATTTGTCACAATTATGTTAGGCCCTTTACTATGTGCCAAGCCCCATCCTAGACACTAGGTTTGATGAGCAAAAACAAGTATGTGCCCTGTCTCTTGGAACTACACTCTGGTGGGACAGTTCAACATGAACAAACTTATATAAATATAAAATTGTAGCTATAATATGGACTACAAAGGAAAAACTAAGATATCATAGGTAAGAGATTTGATCTAGTGAAGGGAAGTCAAATTTCACTGAAAAAGTGCTGATTGAACAGAGATCTGAGGAATGAGTAGGTGTTAAGTAGGTGAAAAAGAGAGGGCATGTGATTCCAAGCAGAAAGAACAGCTTATGCAAAAGTCATGTATGGGTAAAGGGATCATGAGGGGACTGAAAGTAAGCTAGTTTGGCTGAAGTGAAGAGAGCAGAGAGGAGTTGGTATGCAGTCAATCTGAGGAGGTTGGGAGGGTCTTAAAAGTGGTGATGATAAGGAACTTTGTCTTTATTTTAAGAAAGACGGATAGCAGGAGGGAAAAAAAGAAGTCGTTAGCCATTGAAGCCCAAGGGTTAACATCAGATTTGCTTTTCGAAAATATTACTCTGACTTGAAGCAAGAAGAAAGGATTATGGGGGTGTGAGGGTAGAAGTTGATAGATGAATTGAGAGTTAGTCACAGTAGTCTATATAAAGAGAAGCTGAGATAAAAGTGAACAGATTCCAAGAAATGAATAAGGGATAAAATGGAGGTGCCTGGGTAGCTCAGTCAGTTAAGTGTACAACTCTTGATCTCAGCTCAGGTGTTGATCTCAGAGTCATGAGTTCAGGACCCGTACTGGGTTCCACACTGGACATGGAGCCTACTTTAAAAAGGAGAGAAAAGGGACAAGATTTAGTGATGGAATGGATGTACATCAAGAGGGAAGGTGTCAAGACTAGGTTTCTGGCTGCCATTACTGGCTATCATTCCGGTGTACCATTCACAAGATGTGGAACATGAGTAGGCAGTGTGTTTTGGTAGAGGAAAGACTATAGGTCATTTGAATCTCAAATTCCTTTGAAATATGCAGAAGTTTAAGTATAAGAAATCATCTCCAATTGTCTTTTTTAAAAATAAAAATCACATTATTGTTTGTAAAATAATGTTCATTGTAGAATTTAATAAGTGCAGAAAAGTACAAATCTTAAAATACCACCTTCAAATCCCACTACCTCGAAATAATTGTCACTAACTATAGATAAACACCATTTCAGATGTCTTTCTATGTCTGTCTGTGTATACATGGAAATGACTTCATAAAAATGCAGTCATACTATATGTGCCCTTTTGAATCAGAGGTATTAAATTTTACTTTAATGGAACAGAAACACTGATATGAGGAAGAGATTACTGAACTTGAAATAAATGTGTTTTTTCACCACATGAGATACAGTCATTCATTATTGAGTCAAGCAAAAGCTTTTTACTTTCAACGTTTATTTGAAAGGCTTTTAGCTTGACTAGTCAACTTAAAAGAACTAAGCATTTGGGACTGATACCAAACTCTACTTTAAGTGAGAATTATTTACTTCCGTTTGACTTACTATTACTGTGTGCCTAAGACTTCAGTAATCTTGATAGATGTGTGTAATCACAATAGGACATGATAAGGAGAGTCAGGCAGGAATATATTTTCACAGTACTGCCAAAAACATAATTGTTTGGAGTTTAAACTTCCAAAAACTTCCAAAAATGCAATAGGAATTTTAGACTTTAAGGCAATGAGAAGTGGGTATGGCAGTGACATTTGTTGAGCACCTACTGTATATACTAGACTCTTCCCCTGTGCCACACTATATCATGCTCCTCTGTGTCCAAAGAATTACATAGTAAGCTGGTCTGTGGTGCTGAATGAGAAAAATTCATGGGGCTAGCAGAAAGAAATAAAAATAGAAGAGTACTGCTACCATAAAGAAATGGACAGTATTAAACTGTGAACAGAGATTTAGCAGGGTCCTTGGAGTTAGCTGGAACTCTATTCAAATCCTTACCTCACTGTCAAGTTGCTTAGTGATATTGGGTGTCATCAGTTTTGAGCTTCAGTTTCTTTATCTGAAAATGCTTCCCTTATAGGGCAGTAATGAAGAGGAAATGAAATAAGGTATGCAACAATGCTTGGCACACAGAAAGGTGCTCCAAAAGTGGTAGCCTCTTATAGTAATAATAGAAATAGTAAGCCAGAAGGAATAGGAAGGAATATAGATGGGTAAAAGCATCGACCAAATGAACTGATCTTTTGTTTTTATTTTTGTTTTTGTTAGAATACTCCATCTACTATGGGCTACACACCAACATGGATTTCTTCTCTGTCCCAAATCCGTGGAGCTGTCCCAACCTCCTTGCCACAAGGACTCCCACTCCCTTCATTTCCTGGGCCATTACCATCATATGGAATGCCCCATGTTTGTCAATATAATGCTGTGGGGGGGCCAGGGTACCCAGTACAGTGGGTAGGAATTTCAGGAACACCGCAACAGTCTGTAGTAATTCCTACTCAATCTGGGGGACCATTCCAGCCGGGAATGAATTTACAGGCGTTTCCAGCTTCATCAGTGCAGAATCCATCCGCGATCCCTCCTGGTCCCAAATGAATCAGAGTAGAGATGAAGAAAAGGGAGATTTTTTTTTCAGAATTATTTTCAGGACACCTAAGATACTAAATGTTCTTCTTCGTTCTGCCATATTTCCCCTCATTTGAGTTTACTTTCCACTGAATTTTTGTTGTTGTTCCATTATGGTATTTTATATAGCTCATCATTCTGTAGAACTGTGCAGTTTGTACATAGAGCACTGCACACAGAAATGATTTTTCACTTCAGATCCTATCCTCTTTGATACTTGATTTTTTAAAAATACCGTTCAGAATGCTTTAATAAGCTCAGCTTGAGCATTACCATTTCCAGGACACTTTCCATGAATTGCTGAGAAGCCCCCATTTTTTACTGCTGCTATCTGCAGCTGGATGATACTTTAAAATGTATAAAAACTATTTAAATTGATATTCCCCAAACGTGGATGAAGTGAGACCCTCCAACAGCCGGAGTTTTATGGGATTCTTCACATGTTTATCTTAGGTTTACCTTTCCCAGAAGGCAGGGTAACTTGCTGCAGGAAACGTTTTGGTATATGAAATTAGAATAACTTTGTCAACCAATATAGACCATGAGCCCTTTTTAATGTGATTTTCTTCCCGTCGTCACAGCAGGAGGAGTGAAGCCTTGTTTTAGGTGAGGCGGAGAGAAAGGAAAAAACAGAACTGTAACAGTTCCTTGATTCTGCAGATACTGTAGCTGCTTTAGGATTTCAATAGTAATTCAAAGCAGCTATCTCCTTGTTTCTCATGTGCACACTACATTGTTTTTGAGCATCTGAGAGGCACTGGTTTGGCTTGCATTCTTTTGTAAGGGATATATTGCAGCTGATATGAATCTCATTTTGGGGGAATCTTGGTATTCCGAACAAAGAGGATTCAAGTTACACCTCTATTGATCCATTGTTCTGAAGTAAAATGTATTTGACACAGTAGGTTGTAGGTTCTGAGACTTAAACATGAAACACTGGCTTTACAGGGTTCTAAGGTGTGGGGTATACACTGTCCTGCAGTGAAATAGTAGACCCTCGAAGGACACTATTTAAGTTGCCCTTAGCTTTTTTTTGAGGGGGGGGGGATTGCCATTTTTTTAGTTGTTATAATTTCTTGTTAGTATATATAGCATCCTAGATGGTTTTAGATCTTAGATGATTTTGGCAGCCTCTTTTTAGAATCTGAGAGAGATCACTGTCAAGTTGCACTTTACTGGGTTTTATCCAGTTTTAGAAGGAGGTGAGACAATGTCAAAATATACACTTTTTGCTTTTCAAGAAGGCTAACTATAATAATCCTAAAAGGCTGGTCACAGAGTTACCTAATGCTCAGTCTGTGAAACCCAAATAGAATTCTTAAATGGTATTAATCAACTATCACATACACATGTTTGAAATACTTTCTACTCTGAAAATTTCAGGGTCATTTCTACCATACAATTACCTGATAATGAGTTCTATCTACTGGTAACCATTCCAAATTACCACCCAACATTTCTTTGAACAGATTTTCCTCCATGTTCCTCTAAAATTTCTACCCCATGAGCTTGCCAAGTAATGAGGAAAACTCAATAGGTATACTTTTTTTTTTTTTTTTTGCATAGTCTACTTTGTGACATTTAGTACCTTTTTCAAAAAAATGTGTCTGGTATTGCTTACCTGAGGATCACACTAACCATCATAAAGATTCTGTCACTATCCTTTGGGGTGTCTAAGGCAGCATTTTCAGAATTGCTGTTGATAAGAGCCACAGTTTCTTTTCATAAATCATACTGTGGTTTGGGTGAGTCTCTTATGTACAGATTCTTCAAATTTCTCCTACAGTATTGGTTTGCAAGTTGCAGTGATTTTAGGACATTAGTGTAATGCAAATACTTGCATTGCATTGTTTTCCATGTGTACAAAAACAATGCACCTAAAATCCGTAATTCTTTAAAACTGCTCGTGTTTCATTATAAGAGTTGGCTTTGTGTAATTACATTAAGACTTACAACCTATAAAGTGAAAATCCTGCAGGTTTTAAGATCCCTTCCTCTCTACATGTAATGCTTTTAAACAGTATACCCCAGGATGAAAAAAACCTCCATGGATGACATGCACAATTACATTTATTAATGGCTGCTCTACATCAAATGTCCCACATTTTGCCACCACCTCTGTTTTAGGTATGATTCATCATTCATTTGCCTGCAGACTTTTGCAGTGCCTTGTAATATTTAGAATCTTTTCAGATTTTTTGCTGGAAAGAAAAGTAGTCTTCTAAAGTTTGAAGATAGTGAATAGCATACTGCTGTCTCCATGCTGACCGCAGTAGTTGGATTAACATATGTTATGTATACATTATGTATATGTAACATGTATAAGTTTAAAAATAGAGAAAAAAAGTGAGTTTGTGCAGAAATGAAAACAGTGTTATTCGCATCACTGTGGGGTTTTATTTTTTTCCCATTAAATGTTTGATTCAGATTATAGTCACTTTGACTGTAAATATTGGCTAGTTTTCTAAGTAGGGGTTTTACATTATTTCATAATTTTGCTAACTCATATAATAGTGCTGTTTTCATCCTTCCTGAGGTAATTTTCCTTCCCACAAGCAGTTAACTCTTGAGGTGAAGCTCAGAAATTCCCTTCTTACTTAACAAAGAGCCTACTATATAACAAGGGCCTTCTACCCAAAACTGTCCTTTTCATTTTCCTTTTTGTAGGAGAAAGAGGTTGTACTAAACCATCCTACTTGTAAAGTTTATTTGGGGGATAGTCTGTATGTCCAACCTCTGTGTTTACTTCTCAAAGTACAAGTCTGATGAATAGTACTGTATCTCCATATGTGGCAATGTGAGCATTTCATCATGAAGTACATGCTGCTATGTTTGTGAAGTTGGGTGTAACATCATAAGACTATGAAACCAGTATTGGTGTAAATCTAATGAAAATAACCCTATGTATATTTGTAGCAGTCTTGAATCTCTATTTAAGGTAATTTGCTGTAATATAACAAATATCCCTTTTGTTTTTCATCCTTTTCTTGCCAGTTTTATATCAAGCATGAATTCTCATGGTTTGACAGCAAAATTATCTGTGAAAGTTTAAAAGGCACTTTTCCGCTGTGATTTTTGGATTGAGTGTGGAGTGTTATGTACAATATGAAGGGATGTATCATTTTAGAACCCCAGATTTAATCCAGTCCAGTTACTTTTGTTTATCTACCTCGTTTTCAGTGCTGTTTAGGGGTGCACAAGTAAACACTGCCTGTGAAACTTGCTTTTTTGCCTTGATTCTCAGTATTCTTTCAGGTTATAAATCTGGCCTGCCTCCTAGTCCCAGTGCTAAGCATGAGTTCGATATGAAGGGACCACCACTCTGCCACAAATCTGTGTTTAAGTGATGAGAGCCATGTGCCTCTGCAGAATAAGCTTTTGGGATTTGGGGAAGGAGAGCAGAGAAAGAAATCAGCTGGTGGCAATGTAGGATTTAGTTTTAGGAGTCAGTCCTAAAAGAAATGGTAAGAAAGTATCTAGACAGTCCAGTGCCTGCAACTTTGCATCTTTTACTAAAGGTGCGTTTCTCGTCTGTGTGCCTAAAGGGCTATGTGTTGAAATTGCTTTTACTATCACAGTGACATATTTGCCCAATCCTACAGCAGTGGCCTGTCATTCAGCATATTAGCATACTGCTAGGTATTTTCAGTGGTATTTTGTTACCTTAAAATGGCTGTATGCTTTTAGTTGAATTGTAGTTGGTGGTAACTGTTTATCCAATCTCTAAAGTTTATTGGAGGCATTGACTTTCTTCTTTGCTGTCTTTTCTGAATGATGAAATGATGCATTCTTTTTCTTTTTCCAGAACACTCAGCTGATGTTTATAAGCCACATGTTCTTTGTTTCACATGGTTACTATGTATAACACTACAGCATATTTAATATTAGCAAATACTGTATTTCAGGCTTCATGCACAAATACATTCCTGAAATATATTTGGGATTCAGTTATTTAATCTTCTGTTTGGTTTAGAGAAACTTGAGATTTGAGATGGGGTGCAGGCCATTTTCTAGAATAGATTGTTCATTTTTTCATTCTATAGTGTATTGGGGACTTTTTTTTTTTATCCCCCTTTGGTTTTGAAGATGAACCGGCGGGGGTGGGGTGTTGTAGAAAAGGCCATTGATTTGATAAATGTAATTCTGATATTCAGTTTTGTTTTTTTTAAACCAATACAGACTATAAAATTGTGACACTCAAACTTGGTAAAGTCCTTTGAAATTAGTATGAAATTTTGACAGAGCCAAATGCTTTCAGTTCACCATGGAAATAGTCTTTGTATGTGAAGGATGAACACAAACATTGGTCAGGGTCCTTGATAGCCAACATAGGGAGGGGCCTGGAATAGTGCTTAGGTGACACTGAAGTTATTTTCAAGTGAGATAGTTGGAAGAGTGTACAAACCAACAGTTTCCATTCTGGAAGGTTTTCTCTTAATTAAAAAAAAAAACTCAAAAAGGCTAAAAGTCAAGCAAGAAGGGAAGAGAGAAACTGGGCTCTTGAGAAAAAAAAAATGTGACGGTATAAAATAAACTCCTAAATGCGTGCTTGTCATCCTTCCTGTTTTTTTTTTTTTTTTAAGTTACATTTCTTTTCCACTATAAGTTAAGATTTCAGATTGAGGTTAGTGGGCCAGACCATACCCACAGCGAAAATAGTGACTGATCGGAAAGTGCAGTTGTTCAAGGTCTGTCATGCTCAATCACTTAAAGCTGTAACTTGTTTGATATGAATATTAAGCATGTAGACCTAGTGCAGCATGGGAGCCACTCAGGAAGTTTATGCAATTAATAAACTTTCATGCATAATTTGCTATGAAGTATGCAGAATTTCAGCCACTTCTTTACACTTAACATTTAGTTGTATATGCAAACTCTCCTTTCTTAATTGGGGAATGTAGCATTATATAGAAAGAATGTTGTTAAACTTAATTTTAATCCTTCTTGACATTAACCCTTTTTTTTCCTTTGGTAAACCAAGTGATCTGCCTTTAAGCAGTCATCTGATTTTGGTTCTTTGAAACTGTGATTTTTATTTCATTTGTACCCAGCCATTGTAAGTATTTTGTTTTGTTTCTTGGAAATTTTGTTTTGAAAAAGAAAATAAAGGCTGTGTTATAAAATGAGTATGGTATCTTATTAAAATGCTTTCATAGTCACTGCAATCACCTGGCTTAAACTGGTTCTTCATTTATCAAGTGTAATTTTTAGGAGATCTAAAAGATTTAGTCCTATAGATTATGCTGGCTGAACAAATTAACCAAGCCATCGATTATCTCTTGATGTATATAGCTCTAGCAAATTTTGAGTTGTACCTCTTCTCCACTCTTACCAATGAGCTATAATTATAATACTCATTATGATTTTTCTGAGTACCTGTTGTGTTATTTAGGCTTTTACCTGTGATATTTTTAATTCAAAAAACAATCCTATAAGCTAAGTCTTACTATCTCAACTTTACAGAGAAAATTTATGGATCAGAGAGATTAAAGAATTTGCCATGGTTAACACAACTAGGAAATGGTGAAGCCTGGACCCAAACCTAGGTCTGTCTGACTCCCAAGCTCATGGGAAAAACCTCAGGCCATACAACTCTCAGATACACTGTTGGAAAAATAATCCACATACATTTACAATAAGTTTCCATCTATTAATCAGCATTAGTAGGTGCTCTTTTTACATGTCTTTCATGAGGTTATATCCAGTGCTTGTTTCATCATTTCAGGAGTAGAACTGTGTTTATGGTACAAACAA